ATGAGCCCGCTCTCCCGGAACCATGAAAACATTTCACCATCCCTCAAGCTTTCACCTACTGCCGTGTCATCCTATACCCCGACTCACTCTTCACGGGACCCGAGTGTGGAGCCTCGAGGGGCCATGCTGAGCCTCCCTCCACTTCGGGCTCAGCTTTAACTGGGGCATTGGGCTGGAGACGGGCAATTGCCATCTCCGTTGCCGCTCAGGTGCACCGAATCCCGCAAGACGTGCTGTCGGTGAGAAAAAGAAATGCTTTCTAATCTTCCCGGCACCTGCTGGGGCACGCGGCGCCCGGTTATTACATTCCGGGCACGATTAACCCTTCCAATATTAGGGTCCTGGGCTTGGGTAATGTGCTCTCAGGCCAGCAACAAAAATATCTCTGAGATTTTTGAGCTAACGGTGCATTTGCGAGGTCATTCAAGGCTAAGACCAGAAGGATTAAAAGATCTGACTCCTTCCTGAGGTCCTTAGTTGTAAAGGACCAAAGAAGCCGTAAAACAAAGATTTATTCAGTTTCAGCCGGACAGCTCAATGGCACAACCCCGTAAGGACCAGGAAAAAAGAAACATCTGGCCAGAAAAGCACACTTGTTTACGAAAAAAAAAGGTTTAAGAGTCTTCTCCAGCTTTACCAAGTTTTTGGACGAAAACGAGGCTGCACACGAAAAACAATGTAGAACCTTGAGAGACACAGGGGCAACACAGGCGGGAGAAAGAACATCTTGTTTCTTCCTCATCCAGCTGCCTCAGACCTCGGGGCCACCCCCCCGCCCCGCCCCGAGCGCCCCGGGGAGAAGCCCTGCCCTGGTAGGTAGCCCCTGGGGACCGCGCAGCTGTGGGCTCCCCACACAGGTGGCCAGGCCGCCCCTGGGGCCCCGCCCTCTGGTGGGGGAGGGCAGCCTTCGGACGGATGCGCACGGAGGGTCCCTGATGACCAAGAGGCTCTCTTCTGAGCTCAGCGCACACCACCCTGGTGCTGTTGGCACCTAGATAGTGACACCCACTTCCACGGCGTGGGGGGGGGAGGGGCGGTGCGTCTTTGGAGCGTGGACAATGGCTGTTTTGTAAGGAAGGAAGCCTGCACTGGCAACATGGCCCCAGGCCCAGGCCGGGAAACTCGACTTCTTTTCCAGGCCTGCTGTTGACTCAGCGGGGCTCTGAGGCCAAGCCCTGCCGCCAGGGTCGGCCCAGCCCCCTCCTGACGTGCGTGCGCCGGAGCCTACGGATGCATGGCAGTCACAGGACGGCCGGACCCCCAGCTCTCCCCGGGATGCTCCTGGGATGAACGGGTTAAGACTGGAAGATGCTTTGAACTTCTTGGCACAAAGCTGTCTCGAGCACGGTGATTAATAAATCTTACAACAGAGGTGGATTAAGGTCAGAAGTCACTCAGGGGCCTGGGGAACAGAGCTGGCTCATGGCTGCACCTCTGAAGCCCACGCCGTTTGCAGCCCTACAGCAACGGAGGTGGGGGTGCCCCAGGGTCCCCAGGCTCACTTGTTCAAACTGCGGGGGGCCCTGGAAAAGCTCACAGGACTAGAGAAACACGCACACACACGATCGCCATGGAAGTAAAGGCTAGAGAAGAAATGGAATCACACGGCCAAGGCGGAACGGAGTTAGGCAGCCCACAGCCGCTGGGGTGACAGGAGCACCATGTTGTGGGAGTCCGAGATAAAGCTTCTAACAGCAGCCAGTGAGGAAGACGCTGAGCAGACCACTAACCAGGTAAGGCGGCCCTGCTGCCATCTTCCAAGGGGGCCTAGAAATTTCTGAGCAACCAGGGCCTGCGTGTTCCCAAATGCCACCGAAAGATGACATTCCTGGAAACCTTGCACCACGATGCCAAGTCGCAAAGAGCATGAGACAAAGCTGTGACTTTCGTTACAGTGGCTCCTTCTCTTCCTCCATAAAATGGGGTGTCGGACCCGCCATGGCATCAGTGTCCCTGAGTCACCCAGACTTGCAGTCCTTTACACCTCTGTCACCTCCCCCCCATACAGCATGGGTGGTCTGTGGACGGTCTCCTTTCTGCTGCCCTCCTGAGCCCCAGTGAGACACTCAGGAACCGGCGCCCCAATGCCCCAGATGGCCAGACCAGACCGAGGCAGGACAAGCTCATCTCCGGCTAGGTCAATGCCGCGCCCAGTACTACTCCTTCCCACCCGTCTGCCCTTCCAAATGTTCCCGTGGCACCTCAAAATGCCACTCTTAGGCCATGAACCGCTGGTACAGGGACATGGAGGTGACACTCTGGCTCCCGAGCTCCCCGTGGTGTATTCAATTCCACCTGCTGGCCTGGTGTATTCCGGAGGTGCCCCTGCTCTCTGCATGCTGGTTCTGCACTAAACCTTCTTCTCTCCCCAAGTCTCTTTGGCCCTGTGTTCCCCCAGGAAATCCTCCTGGATCACCTCAGCTAGCCCTCCCATCGGTGAATCCCTCCCCAACCTCATGAGCACTGGAAACACATTTCCAAACAGGGATCTGACCTTTGGGCTAACAAAGTCCATTCTCACCAGTACGGCGCCCTGACCACTCCCAGCGGCCCTGAGAGTCTCCTCTCCCTGTCCCAATGGCAATGGGCTTGCATGCACGGAAAGGACTCATAAAAGCCTATCATTTGTTCTGCTCGTCTGTGTTTGTCCTACCCCTTCTGATGCCATAGACTGTGCAGCTAACCCTCCGCACACCTGGGGGAAGCTGAAACCAAAGGGGAGCATTGTATGCCCTACAGACCATCAGCACTATGGCCGGCTCATTAATGATTGCCGAAGCCCCAGACAGCAGCATCTACATCTGCCCTCCACTCCCCACCCCATCCCATCCATCGAAATCCCATCCACCTGGCCACCAGGCCAGCTCCCTCTGCTCCTGTCACCCCCAGTCCACCTTCCCCTTTTCATCACCAGAGGGGGGTGTCCTTAATTCTACCCCTGCTTTCTCATCAGGATGACTGCAAAGCCTCTGGTCCTCCAATCCCCCAAGACTTCCCACACACCAAGGCCAGAGCAGTCCTTCTCAAATGCTTTCTCGGCATCCCCTAGCTTGACCCAGGGCCAGAATGCAGCGTGTGGTCAGTATCAAATACACAGATGCATCTGCCCAATGGATCATAGCACTGTCTCTTCCTCCATTGTCCTGAGGACAAGGCTCGTGGTCATTGGTCATCAGTGTGGCTTCAGAAGGTGTGCTGACCTGACCACTCCTCGACACACAGACCCTATGTGTCAGGGCCACCGCAGACTATTCACCTCGAACACCACACTCTGCTTCCAGGCTTTGCAGATACAGCTCCTTCTGCCCCCCTGCATCTGTCCTCACCTCCACTGTCCTCATCCCATCATCCTTCACCCCCCAAGGGTCCCTTCTCCGTGGAAGGGCCCTCCCTCCCTTGCTCCCACGAGGGTCGGCACCCACGTTGGCCAGGCCAGGTCCATGCCTGCAGGGGCTAGGTCTGGGCGTCCACAGTCAGCGAGGCTTTCTAGGGCGCGCACGCAACTCGCTCACCGGCCTGTCTTTCCCCCGCACACCACATTAGGACACGACAACCAGCGAGAGCCCCTCTTAGCTGAGGCTCAGCCTGGGTCTCAGTGTGTGAGGTGAGCTTGCTGTCGGGGCTGGCTCCCGGGCCAAAGGAGCCTTGCCTTTAAAATTGCTTTGTTGATGTGCATGGAAAGCCAGTGTTCTCTGCTTATCTCAGAGTGGGTCCCATCTTACCGATGAGTTACTGCGCTCACATGGCAACTGGGGGGAGCGCCTGGGTGGCCCACACGCACGCCAGACCGCCCGGCCCTCCGAACCACTCACGTTTCAGAGCTGGTCTAAGCAGCCTGGCTGGCTAGGCCCAGGTGTGCCAACGTCCTACACGAGCAACACGGTGGTTGCGTCCGATCAGAGAGAGCGAATCAGCCCCGCTCCACCCCAGGCTGGTGGGCACGGCCCGACCCTCTGACTCAGGTGAGTGGGGCCAGGGGCCGCCTCACCGAGACCTTCTTGCCCCTCTGTATGTCCTCATATCGTCTCCAGAGGCATCTGCCGTGGCACCCAGGGAAGAGATGGCCGTAAATCATCTGCCCCCACCGCCGCTACGAAAACACTGAAAGTGCTCGGGATAGGTGTGGTTTTGCCGGCGAGAAGCAGGGCCAGCCCGAGGCCCAGCAGCATTACAAGCAGGAGTTTCAAAGGGCTGTATCAGTGGCATGGCCGAAGGCTCCGCCCTCCATAAATCAACCCGGGGCCTTGGCGTCCTCACTGGGCGCTTCCCGCTCGGGCTCACCCGAGGGTGAGGGGTGCTGCCGGCCACTCCCATCCCACGCCACAGGCTTGGGCCTCGGCTTAACCCGGCCTGACCCCGCAGAGGCCCACACGCTCAGCATCCCACACACCACACGCAGCCACAGGATTACACAACACCATTCCGATGCTGCAGAGAACAGCATGTACAGGGGAAGCCCAACCCCGTGGCCCGCAGGAGGCAAATAGGAGGGAGGATGGAACCTGTGTGCGGCCGACGGGCGGCTCCCATTCCAGCCCGGGCTCGGTCACTCCAAGACCGGCCACCGTGGGCAGGAGCCGCCGCCCCCCTCGGCCCCGGCCTCCACCTCCGCAGAATGGGAACGGGCGGCCGATGGGGTCCAGCCCAGCATAGGGGTGCCCAGCACAGGCTTGGTGGGCCCCTGAGCCCCTGGGTCTTGTCGGACCCTGTCACCATGAGGCGGTTGGTGGGACAAGATGAGAAGGAAGGGCCTTGGGCGCCTGGGTGGCTCAGTTGGTTAAGCGACTGCCTTCGGCTCAGGTCATGATCCTGGAGTCCCAGGATCGAGTCCCGCATCAGGCTCCCTGCTCGGCGGGGAGCCTGCTTCTCCCTCTGACCCTCCCCCCTCTCATGTGCTCTCTCTCTCATTCTCTCTGTCTCAAATAAATAAATAAAATCTTTAAAAAAAAAGAGAGAGAAGGAAGGGCCTGAAATGTGTATTTTACTGGATTCCCACTTACTCAGGATAAGCTGCCTGCAGAAAATGGCCTTTATAATCTTTCCTTTCGTGTCTGGCCAGGTATATCACTCCTCGGAGCAGAGGGCTATGTCCAGGCTCCTCAGCAGGGCCCGGGGACCAGCTGTCCCAGAATGACTCTGGCCTTGGCTAGGGAAAGTCTCTGCCAGGAGAAATGGTAGAAGCGGCATAAACAAGGAGACTTCCTGCAAACACAGGCCCGAGCTACCGGAGCCTCGAGGAGCTGTCCCCACGAAGGAAGGCCGGGACCTGGGGACCTGTGCTTTCCACCCTGACAGCACCCTCCTCACGGAGGCCACGGGTGACCAGCGGGACAGAGCCGCGTGTCTCTCCGTAAGATGGGTACTTCCCAAAGAGCACCTTCTCTCAGGTCCCAGCCCCGTTCACACCCAGACAACTGAGGACGATGGAAATGCCGAGGACTTCCAGAGCCAGAGGAGCCTGCCTATGGCCCCCAGCACTGCAGCATGGTCCCTGGGTGACATGGGGCCCACGGTTGTTCTCATAGCCCGGAGCGTAGGGAGCAGACGAAAGATCCGGTGCAGTCCCTTACATGTGCTTCCTAGAGGGAATCAGACTCGGAGAGACGGAGAGTAGAATGGGGGTCTCTAGGCGGCAATGGGGACAGCTTCAGTTTGGGGAGAAGGAAAGTTCTGGAAAGGGATGACGGTGAGGGCTGCACAGCCGTGTGAATGTGCTCAGTGCCACTGGATTCATGGTGAATTTTAGGTCACGGGTATTTTGAAGACATATTGCAGCTCCTGGGGCCCAGCGGTGCGGGCATGTCGAGACAGGTCTTCTAAGGTGAAGGGTAAGCTGGTGCGTCTGAAGCCTCCTACAGCCAAGGAAGAGGCACAAAGCCTCCTGGGCTTCTTTAGAGTGTGGGGGCAACGCAGCCCTCCCGCGGGTGGGTGTCACTCCGACCCATTCACAGAGTCACCACAAAGCTGTGCGGTGTGGGGCCCCGAACAAGAGGGGGACAGGCAGTTAGTGTTCAATGTGGACGCGGCCTCAGTTTGGGAAGATGATCATGTCCCGGAGACAGGCTGGTGCTGGGTGTGCTGGCGACCACTAAACCGTGCGCTTAAAAATAGTTAAAATGGCCAATTTTATGTGTGTATGTTAACCACAGGGTTAAAAACCTAGAAAAGAAAGCAAGGGCAGACTATATTTTTAAGCATATACAAAAGTACGCTAGTGCCCGCATGATCAGACTCATGATGTATATAAACTGGGTAGAAGGTGCAGAAACCTATCTCAAGTTGTCAGAGCAACACAAACGATAACGAACAAAGACGGGAGGCAGTGGGGGGTCAGCAGACGAGTGAGGACCGCGGAACCAGCCCTGGAGTCAGCGTTCGAGCGCCGGAGCGCAGAGGGGCCGCTCCGTTCCCGCGGGGTGTGCGGGTCAGCGCCAGGCTCTGCCCTGGGCACTGTGCAGAACATGGTGGCTTCTCGAACGTTGCTCAGGAACATCAGTCCTCTGTGCTGGTCTCCATGGGGCGGTTTACGCTCCGGTTGCCGCGGGGGGCCTCCAGCCAGCAACGGCTCTGAACTCCCGGTAGGCGCCCAGGAGCTCGGGCACAGTTCGGGGCTCTGAGATGCACAGACAGGCTCCCGCCCCCCGGAGCTCCTGGACTCGGGGAGCAGACAGCACACACAGCCTGTCACGCAGAGTCCGGTGTGCCTGCCGCGTTCAGAACACGCTGTTAGTGTTCCATTTCCCTTTCCTGCCCCGGCCAAATAACTCATGATGTGGGAATGGATGAGACAGGGAATCGTAGAACCGGACAGGCCGAGGGGACGCCTCCAGTCCGACCTCCTTCCTTCACAAATGGGCTGCACACGTGTGCCCTGCAGGCTCCAGTGACCTGGCTCCGTCTTCCACGAGGTGGACGCTGGGACCCTTATTCAGAGCTCGGACAGTGGACCTGCGGTCAGCGCAGCTAGTAAGGGCCGGGGCTGGGATGAGAGCCCGCACAGGCCTGGATGACCAGCCTGCCGCCTCCCCGCTGCCTCGCTGGGGCGCAGGTGGGCACACGGAAGCTTCCCTGCCATGGACGTTGTCTGCGGACACCTGCTGCGCGGCTAGCTGGCCAAAGATCCCCTGGGGCGGCCAAAAAGGTCCAGGGACAGGCCCGCATGGACTCCCCGAGGCAGAGCCTGCGACAGCCAGATTCGCCCTGTGGCCCAGCCTGGTGGACTCTGTCTGCTTCACCTTCCAGTTTCATGCTGTTCCTTGGCTGTGGTTCCTTCGCTGCATTTTTCCTTCGCAGCACTTAATGATGAATTAAATTCTTCTCATTTTTCCCCCTGATGCAAAATAACAACTGAGAAAGAAAGAAAGAAAAAGAAACACCAGCTGATGGAAACTCCCGAGTGCGTCCCGGCACCTCGTTTCAGAGCACGCTGGCGGTGGCCACCCGGCAGGGCGGGGGGCGCGACCTGGCAGGGGAGGGGGCCGAGGCCCTGCCCCGAGGCCCCCGCAAGACCTGAGCATGTGCGTCCCTTTGCTTTTGGGGGAACCTGAGCCCAAACCCGTGACGAGGAAGCGACCGCACCTGCCCCCCAAGCTGGAGGAAGAACGGAAGCAAACAGGTGGCGCGGAGTGGGCACTCGGGGATGACGCTACCTTCGCCAACAAACACGTGCAACCTGCGGAGGTCCTGCAGGCCAGCCTCCCCGCCCGCGTGCGGTCCCAGCCCGCAGGTCAGCGCGCGCAGAGGGTGCGCGGGTGGTCGGTCGTGCAGTGGGCGTGTTTCGCCACCACGTGTAAACACGACAATAATAAAGAATGTTCCAGAGACTCCTCACAGCTCATCTGTCTCCTCTGCACTTGAGGCTTACCATTGGCTCCTCTGACAAGCTCTGGGTTCTGTGCTTCTGCCAGGACATCTTTTCGGGGGAAAGGCCACTCCCCCAACGGCCGCGGTGACACAGCAATAACCCTGCTGCCAATTGTTGGGCACTCACCACTCCCTCCAACCCTGGCGGCTGCCCCGCAGCACAGGGGTCCAACCCCTGATCCACGAGTCTGGAAGCTGAGCCCCCAAGAGGTGACATAAGGAGCTCAAGGCCGTGAAAGCAGTGAGAGTCCGAGGCCAGGCGCCCCCGCTCCAAAGCCAATCATCACTCCTCCCAGTGCATCCTCACCCCGAGCACAGTGCTCATTCTCCCGAAGGAGCCAGGAGGGGCCGATGCAAACATCACTGCTTCTTCCTCCTTTGCTCTCCTCAGCACCTCTCCGTCCAGAACCATGCGGGCTTCCTATAGCAGCCCTGAGCAGGATGGGGGCTCCGGCGGGATGTGGGGACAGAAGGTATCTAGAACTTACTTCGAACTACACCCCCAGGGTCACAACTCCAGTAAGCCCCAGCGCCCCTGTCCCTGCCAGGTGGAGGGGAGAAGGGAGCTTTTGGTTGGAGAGGCCAACAGGTCTGGGGCTTAATCGGGGCTCTAATCTGGGCATTAACTCCAAGGAGCTGCCTTGGTTTCTTCATCTGTGAAATGGGAACAAGACAAGACCACCCTCCCTACAGTTCTGGTGGGGGTGACGGGAGTGACGTACGCACAAGGCCCAGAGAGCACCCAGCACCAGTGACACACACCCCAGTCCCACCTTGTGTTGGGCCCACGATGAAGGCCTCCTTTCCCTTGTGTGTAAGGGAGGTGATCATCCACACTCTGCCCACAGCACAGAGTTGTTGTAACAACAGCATTGAAGAGGGCCCATGGAAGTTATTTTCAAGCCAGTCATCTGTTCAACCGTCCATGCGACGTTCGAGCCTATTATGTGCTAGATGCAGCGCTAGGCCGAGGATACCCAGAAAAAGGAGGCCTGACCTGGGTCCTGGCTGCAGGATGGCCACAGTCCGGCTGGAGCAGAACAGGGGAACTTCACCCAGGACACGAAGCAGGTGCTCACCCAGAGGGAGGGAGCTTCTTCGGGCTGGTACCGGGCCCCATAGGCACAGCAGCCCTGACCTCCTGGGTGACGTCCACGTGAATGTGGATGACTCGTGAGGAGTCCAGGACTTTCTGGAGAGATCGGTGAGCCGCGTCCAGGCAGCTGCACACCTGCATAACTAGCCCTGCCTGTCCTCTTATGGAGATCTAGAAAGCAAGGTGGGCCCAGTGCTAGGGTCTCTCCCACTGGAAACCCAGGCCCAAGGGCTACCCTCTGGGATCTGGGTGGAAGCCCCATCACTTAAACGGCCATTTGATGGACAGAGTGCTGCCTCCCCGCTTGAGTCTCCATTCCCCAGCTGTCATGGGGGTTGGTGCCGGCTACCCCAACTCTTGTCCTGATTGGAGAAAGAAGTGAAGTGCCTAGCGTAGCCCTTGGCTCCAAGAAACTACTTGGGAAAATGCCCACCTTAATTATTCATAATATCCATAATAAGGGCAATGATAGAGCAGGTGACACAGGAGAGTCTCCTGAATTCAGACTAGCCGGGAAGCCATGCCCAGGCCTCCTAGGGGCCCAGGCCTCTGTGTTTGAGTGCGGAGTGTGAATTATCCCACAACTTTAGCCTGCCCCACCATGTCCCTGCAAATCCTTATAGGCTTCTCTGCCCCAATGGACCTGGGGAAAAACAGGACCAGAAATTCCTCAGCAGGAGCTCTTCTGTTTCACTTCCAGAGGCCACTGGTTGTGAGTGTGAGAAAGGAAAGGAAGTCATCACTCCTGGTCCTGCCAGGGCCTCCTCCCAATCTGTACACCCGCCCTGGCCATCACAGACACACCTCTCGCACTGCCCGGGGTAGCCCTTCAGAAGACACACTCATCAATGAAGAGTCCATCCCAAGTTGGCAAGTTGTGCCTTCCCAGTGACTTAGCCTGATCACCAAAATCTCACAAATCAAACTTCTCCAAAAAATAAAACTTGACAGACTCTAGCCCAAGGACCAAATCCAACCTGATGCCCAGATTTGTAAATAAAGTTTTATTGACACACTGCCACGACCATTTCTTGCTGTACCACCTACGGCTGCTTCCACACTACATTGGTGCAGTTGAAATGTGGATTGTGACAGTGCCTTGATGTGAATGTTTGTGCCCCCTCGCCCTGCAAATTCACCGGTTGAAATCCCACCACCCAGAGTGATGGTATCTGGATGTGGGGCCCTTGGGAGGACAGAACCCTCATGATTGGGATTGCTGTCCTTATAAAAGAAACCCCAGAGGACTCCTTTACCCCTTCTGCCGTGCAAGGACACAGCAAAAAGATGGCCATCTACGAACCAGAAAGTGGGCCCTTACCAGACACTGAATCTGCCAGGACCTTGATCTCAGACTTCCAGCCTCCAGAACTATGAGCAAGCTCTGTTGTTTATAAGCTTACCCAGTCTGCAGTCATCTGTTAGAGCAGCCCGAAGTGACTAAGAGCCGCAGAGCCAAAGATATTTACCATCCATCCGGGCCTTACAGAGAAAGTGTGCTGGCCCCACTCTACGTGAACACAGGGACACATGTGGGGCTCTCCCACCCCATACTGCATGGCCCCTCTGTGCCCTGACTTCAGCACGGTGCCCAGAGCGGAAGGTCCTCATTGAATGCTTGTCATCCTGGTGTAGACACCTGCCCCAAACATGCCCCGAATCATTCAACAACATTCACTTAGAGCCCCGTGTGACAGGCCGTGATGTATCCCCAAGTGACTTCCCAGGGTGGACCTCACCCAGAGGAGGAGGTAAGGCTCACAAGCTTTCTTTCAGGAGCACATCTTTGGAGAAGATCAGGCCATCTTATGTGTATACAAAAAGAGGATTCTGGAAATGTGTTTCCAGTTAGCTGGAAGTAGAGGGAGGAAAATTATGATTTTTGGATGATTCTGGGGTTACCCAGAACCGAAAGGGAGACATGAACGCCTGAAAACAGACTAGCCGCTCATACCCACTGAGTCACTGATGCAGAAAGGTCACAGACAGTGTGGCCGCGATAAATAGCTAAGATGTTCCAGAGACAGCTGACCTCCCTCCTCCTCCCTGTCCAACCTCAAAAAGTACATGGAGTGACAGCTTTTCCCACTGCTCAGGAACTCCAGAGTTGCTCCTGTTTTCCTGCACATCCAGTGATTAGTGGGAGAATGGCACAAGCCTGGTGATTTCAGGCAAATCTGTTCGTGCTCTTTGAGGGAGGCGGCCGGGGGATTGCGCTACCTCTGCTCCAGTCGCTCCGGGACCCCACACTGACTGCAGTCCAGCCCTTAGCACGGTGTGCAGGCCCCTTTGCCCACGGCCTCGCCCATCTCCCCTGCTCCCTCCAGGCCTTATGGGAGCTCTTCTCACCCTGTGCCTTTGCCCCGCTCCGCAGGGGGACTGCCCATGGCCTCCCTCCCAAACTCCCTCCTTTGGCAAACTCCTCGCAACCCAGGAAGCACAGCATCAGCATCTCCTCCACACAGCACTGCCTCAACCTCCCCAGCCTCCACTTGCCAGGCGCCCGGAGCCCCCCAACCCTCTGTGCCCCCGTTGAACCCCTGTGACCCAACGGGCTTGCTTTGTCTCTCCTCCCCGACCTGATAACTGATTGCCCTGAACTGGGGAGTCTCGCTGATCCCTGAGCCTCCACTGCCTGGTAAATGTTTCCTACCTTTAAATCTTTGCACTGATCATTTGTTTCTAGATTCCTTCAACCTGTGTACCATTGGTTTAAGGGAACAGAGGCTAAAGCAGATCTGGAGTTCAGGTAGCGGTTCGTTCCAGCCTGTTCCACCAGCAAGCGGTTCCATCTTTGTATGCCCAGCCTGCACGGGCCGTTGGAGGGACCAGGGCTCTCAAGTCCTTGTCCCCCCAGCTCTTCTAGGCCCAGAGTCCCCTCCTTTTCCTCAGCTCCTGCAGCTCTGCATCTCCTGCTTTCCTTCAATCATCTGTGCAGCAAACATCTGTGACCCCTTCTAGTGAGGATGGGGGTGCCCAACACCCCCCATTCCTGCCTCGAAGGAATTGTCATCTAACGGGGAGATAAGAATCCAGGTGGGGAACCCAAAAGAAACTGAAAAGCAAGCATCCTTCGCAGCATCTGCGATGGCCTTGTCACGATGAGCAAGAACTCCTGCATCATCTCTTCTACCTCAGTGGCAGACTCAGACCCAGGTGGCACTCACTAAGTATTTGATCGATAAATCAGCAATTAAAGTGGGCACTTCCACCGTCGGTGGGAATGCAAACTGGTGAGGGGGGAAACACTATGGAGGGTCCTTAAAAACGTGAGAACTACCACATGCTCCAGTAATCCCACAGCTGGGTATTTACCCAAAGAAAACAAAACGCTAATTTGAGAAGATATAAGCACCCTGTGTTTACTGCAGCATTATCTACAGTAGCC